TGAACCTTTGGTCGAAATGGTACAGTAGTCGCCTCCTTCGTTGACCTCAATGTTGTTCCACCGGCTGGTCCTCAATAACCGCTGCGGATTGCGCTGATTTTCATTTTTCATTATTTCAACCTTGCGACGTATCCAGTACAGCCGACGAGCCTGTCGCGCTCGCAGGCCCGCCACCACCATGCTTTCTTCTCAGCGTGCTGCTCGCCTGACGCGCGCGCCCTCAACGCAATATCTTTCTCAACGCAATATCTTTGCCGCCACCCATGCACGGAAGGTCCTCCCCACACCTGTTCGCCAGGCATTCCCATCATCGCCTCGAAGTGCGAGCCGGAATTGTGTTCGTCGCCGTTGACCTCCCCGTGTACCCCCAAGTCATCGCATCCTGCGCGGTCGCAATCGCTCTCCCGTGTGCGCTACCCAATTGTATCTAGTGACACATGTGGATCATTTCATCCTCGCTCGTGTCTTGCCATGTCTTCCATCTCCAGACGCGGACCCATATATATCTTCCGCCGCGACCGATATTTTAAAACGCACTATATCTCATCGCTGCCCATATTCCCCGTCTGGCTCGAGGACGCTTGCTGCGCAGCCTTTGCACGGATTGCTACGCATATTGTCCTGGGATAAGGGGGTGGGTTGAGGACTGGATCCAGCGGATCTTCTGCTTGCCCGAGGATCGCTCACAGGTGATGGTTTGATAATCTCGCAGCACTCGGATTCGCTGCCCGCGCCTGGGCTCGTTGTGTGTCTGTTACGCTGTATTTCCGTGGGCGAAATATGTGTGTCGTGTTGGATTTTGCGGGGGCGCGTGGTTCGGCGACTCCTCTTGTACCGCGGAGGGCAATAACGGGCATTAAGCGGTATGTATTAGTTCGCAGAGGAGCAACATGATGCGTATTCGCTCGAGGACCGCACTGTGCGTCCAGATCTCTCCTGAATGACCTCAGCAGTGAACTAATTTCGATGCTCTTTACGGCTGTCCTGCTCGCGTGAATTCTTGCTCGTCGAGCTGGAATTTAATTCGCAGGACATTTGATTCACAAGCGGTTTTCCATATTTTCATTCCGATTCCTCTCGTCCCAGGTCTATCTCCGCGACCGATTTTAAGCACAAGCATTCGTATCGAGATGAAATTGACGATCTTCTCAGCTTGCGGTCTCGTCTCCGCGCTGAACCAATGCCGACGCTGGTCAGAAATCTCGCATGTGTTTTACGGCTGGTACTTTCCTGGCGTTTGCGTTTTAGTTCCAGGTCCATCGATGTAAGTGAGTCTATCTTCGTTTCTGCTGGAAGCTCATTGTTTTTTTATAGGCCCTGAACGCCATCGACCGGTCCTGGCCTTACTGTTTGGATCCTCATTGTTTGGATCTTGGGCCCGGGAGATTTAAATTCACACCACGCGGGAAGTATTCTGCGCCCTTGGATGATCCACTCACGGACGAACACCGGTGAGTGGAGCCTTATTTCGAGTGCCATAGTAAAAGATGATAGCCGATAAATGTTTCTATACAGAGAAGTGATTAGGCGGCCATAGCATTAGCGACGAAACCAGTAAACGACGAGTAAGTATTGGGACCATGTCGCGGTGCAATGGGTATTTGATTCCAGTTTTTTTGGCGAAGACAAGAATATGCTGGTCACCGCTCCTCGTCGCGCGCATACATGAATGTCGACACTTTTCTCCACATCTCATAATGCTCGAAAATTTCCGCGTCGGGGTCCCAATCATCCAGTGTATTATTACCCTCGTCGTCGAGGACGAGTGAGGAGATTGCGATGTCGTCGCCAAAGATGGCGGAGATGAACGTCGCAACTGACAGTGGGTCATAGACAGGGGAGGCACCGACGTGAAAATAGTCGAGCGAGATTCGGATCTCCGCCGTGTCGTCAATAGGCGGGACATGACGTCCATCGAAAACCATCCCCAAACGTTTTAAGAGTGGGCAGTGCCGCGCGAATGCGGACAGGCCGCGTAGTGTCAGGCTGGGCGGATGAATGACGCTGGTTGCTGTGTCCATATATAGGTTGGTGAGTTGCGGCCATGCAGGCGCCATGAGCCATGCTGTGGCATCGTCAATGTCGAAGCCGACGGGTGCATGCAACGTGAGGGAAGTGAGGTTGGAAAACTCGAACAGAGGGCGGAGGGCATGGCCGTTGACGAGATACTGTGGAACGTCTTCGCGCGCAGGAATCGGTAAGCCTTCCAGCAAAGGATGAGCCGGGTTTCCGATCTCTAGAATCCGGAGTGTGTCATGTGCCACATGCGAGGATACTGCCGCATAAAGGGCCGCGATGGTAGAGTTCATCGCGAGGCTTTTGGTGCTGATACACAACCTGTCCAACGAATAATTGAAAAATGCAGAGAAATATGACGCTGCAACTGCCAATTCCGAAATTCGTAGTTCAAGATTTCGGAGTGCCTGGAAGCGTGGGTGCTCCGTGCTTTCTGCGGTGGAAGTGCCAGGCTCCAATGTCCGTGGAAAGATGATCGACATCGAACGGAGGTGGGCAAGCAGGAGAGATGGTCAAATGCTAGGCGATCAACCTGTTCTAAGGTGATATCCTCGAGGTGGTTCAAGGCCCGCGTGAATGTCGACAACACAAGACGCTGGAGGTGAAGTAAATCGGGTGTAGGGTGTACACCAGAATCGGGATTGCTGGCGTCCAGCGTTGTTAACAAGAGGCAGTCGCGCACCAAAATTGGTAGAAGGGCTAGATTGGAAGGTGTGATGGGAATGGGCCAGGAGAGATGTCTCAGGCTCGGGTTGAGAAGTAGGCAGCGAGAGGGGAAATCCACCTCGGCTTGAGCTCCCCAGAAACGAAGAACTCGAAGATTGGGTAGCAAAACATGCTCAGGCATATTCAAGGCGAGTGTCGCTAGAAGCTCCCAGATGTGAGTGCTCTGGGACCCAATGCAAGCTCCTTGATGCGACGGGAGTACATCCTGACTCGTTCCACATCGACGGGGGTGATGGTGCGCTTGATACGCTGGGTATTCTTCGTGAGCCAGACGAAACGGGAGAGGAACGCGAACATACGAAGCGGGACTGTCTTGGATTTATTCTTGTTTCCTGCCACAGATTTTCCTCCCACAGATCTGTGGGCAAGCAGCGAATAATATTGTGGAGTGTATTCTGAGACCTCCAAAGTTGATCCAATGCTAGTTCCTGGAAGGCTCGACAGGTCCTGGCAAGAGCAGCCAATGGGCGCATCCGCGTCGCCAAGCCATTATGCGTTTCTGCAAAGATTGCATCGAGGATTTCGGGGATTTCGAGGGCACGAAACATGGGGTGTGGATGAAAGAAACTACCGGGAGATCGAAGGCACGAAATACGAAAAGGAGGATGGTAGACGTTAAGAGAGGAACGTAGAGAAACATGTCAAAACACTTTGGTCGGAGTTCGGTCGGAGGTCGAAATCGAGATCCAGTGATCAACACCGCCACTCCTTCACCCATCTAAGTTCTCAAGTTTTACCAACATTCATGAGACCATTGCCTGACGCTACGACACCGATATATATTTTGTGCGCTGTAAGTCGAGTTCCGAAAATTTTACCGTCACAAGCACCGTGGCGCCCACTCCCTGATTTCATATTTTCTTAGTTTTGGTTGGGAAGTGAGGATGAAGAAGAGGGGAAAGAAATGCAGATAAGCAAAAGATGACTCGGGCTCGAGTCCAACGAGCTCCCTCCGCTGTATATCCTTCGGCCTTCCGCATAAACTGCAGATGCGCTCCGAGAGCGACCAAACCTTCCTGGCTCGGGATTTGCGAACTATACGAGGAAGTTCATGAACAAAGTTGCAAAAACGACGAGAGGCATGAGCTCCTTCTCCAGCACTGTCTTGATTTTATTGGTGTATCAGTAACTTAAATGTAGACGAGTGAGTTGGAATTGGGGCGAAGGAAAAAGTAATTCTTCATTACGAATAACCAATGGCTTGGGCTCGAGTCGAACGAGCACCTTCTGTTGGATTTTGGTTGGAATTTACATTGGTTCATGATGAACTGCAGACGCGCTCCGAGTGCTACCAAGCCTTCCAAGCTTGGTATTTGCGACCTAAAAACGAGTAAGTTCAGGAACAAATTGGCAAAAAGACGAAAGAGAGCACATGACCTCGAATGAGATCCTTCTGCAGCATGCTCTTGATTTTATTGTGCCGATGCGCTCCGAGCGCTACAAAGGGGCCCTGGAATTGGTGTATCAGCACTTAAATATAGGCAAGTGCGTTGGAATTGGGGCGAAGAAAAAAGAAATAGCATATCAAGAAACAATGGCCTGGGCTCGAATCGAACGAGGTCCTCCGCTCTATATTTGGGTTCAACGAACGAAATGCGGATGCGCTCCGAGCGCTACCAAGCCTTCCTTCCTCCAACTTTGATGCTGATAAGGGAGTTGCTTCGCGGGCGTAGTCCAACGTTTGGGGTCGAGGAGTCGGATCCGCCCAAACTGTGTTGTCCCTGCGGCGAGATGTCGACGCGCCGCTGTCCATGTGCGAGTACGTTATTGATCGGTCTCTAACAAACACAAAAATAATGCGAGTCCACATGCCTTGGCCCCGAGTCGAACGGGCTCCTTCTGCTTTTACGTCAACTGGCGCATTAGCTGATTAGAAGCAGACGCGTACGCAGCGCTACCAAGCGTTAAAGTGGGTGTATCAGGACCTATAACTAAGGATAGGAGAAACAATTAGTCGAACAATCCCTTCCCGATGGATGTGAGGACCTCTCGCTGAACATTAGCAGACCCGCTCCGAGCGCTACCAAGCCGTCCTAGCTCCTCATTCGCAGCATATGTTAGCTGGTGCGGGAATTTGTGTAGGGTTAAAAGATCAAAATGAAGTTCACCGTTTGTCCCAACAAGTTGCACCAACCCAAACTCCAAATTGTAATTCTTTTCCTGTGGCGAGATCTCAACATGCCCCTGACTGAAAATACGTGAATCCATGAATACTGACTAGTGCCTGAAATAAAAATAAGAATGTGGATCCCGAGCTATGGCTTGGGCCCGAGTCGAACGGGCTCCGTCTGCTGCCAATTGTCGGCAAACTATGAATGAACGGCAGAGGCGCTCCGAGCGCTACCAAGCCTTGGAATTGGCGTTTTGTATCCGAAGGATGTGGGATTCAATTTAGTATGTACACATTGATGGAGCGGGGGGAGACAAACACGGAACATAAGATATATATGACCGGGGCCGAGTCGAACGCGCTCTCCGTACCCGGGCCTCCCGGGTGTGAGATTCAGATGCGCTCCAAGCGCTACCCAGCCTTTCGGGCTTCTTATTATCGACCTATAAACGACAACGTGCAAGTTTGGGGAACAAAATTGGAGATGAAAACAGAATAACAGGCAGTGTGACAAAACTAACGCCGACTTCCAGGAGTGCGTGCGCTTAGCGTTGCACCAAAACAAGACACCCCCATCTGGCTAGTTCCATATTTGCGTGCGATTGAAAGAATTGAGACCGAAAAAAGGAGGAAAAACCAAGTCCAACGACTCATGGCTTGGGCTCGAGTCGAACGAGCTCCTTCTGCTGGATTTTGGTTGGATGAAGTTTCTAAATAATGAATTGCAGACGCGCTCCGAGTAGTGTTGCCGCGACTCAAAAAGTCGAGTCACAACTCACGAAGTCGACTTCAAACCACGTTCGACTCGACTCGACTCAACTTTGTTCCTCCGAGTCACTCGAAGTCGACTCAAGTCGACTCAAGTCGATGGAGTCGGAATTTTTTAGATATGTATTTTTGAGGCTCCTGGCAACATAGAAAGGGTCAATTGAGGTTGCATTTACCTCGGAGGGGTATGGTGGTACGATATTCGTCTTTCTTGCGATGTATAGAGGCTCCATTTGACAACTCTGAAAGATGGGATTTCTTTGTATTATCAATGGACTGGCACAATACTGACAACACCTTATGGAATATCTCGAAATTATATCACCCGAGACCAGAAATTTGACCTGGGTTATTTTTTGAGGTTTTCTACATCCTAGGCATCAATGGAGGTCTGTTCCCAAGTGCCTACAACCCATTTTGAATCCATACCGACCCAAACAACTCCAAGTCGACTCCAAGTCGAGGAAGTCGACTTGCCTAGACTCCAGAGTCGAACCAAGTCACACCAAAGACTCGACTCGACTCGACTCAAGTCGATGACCTCAAGTCGACTTGAGGGGCTTGAGTCGCGAGTTGCGGCAACACTAGCTCCGAGCGCTACCAAGCCCTTGTGCGGCAAATTTGCCGCGCTACAAGTTAGTTCGTCGAAACTGGGATTACTTGGCTCATATGCTCCAAAGCGGGAACTGGAGGGTTAATATGCGCAGGCATCATATTGTCACAGAAACTGTACGGAGCAGGAGACGGATGGGGTAAGAGGAATATTGTGGATTCTATGTGAGATGTGGGTTTGGTATGCACTGGGCCAAATGGGAAAAAGAGCAGGCGTGGTTCGAGGATTCGACGTGGCCAGATCTAAACGGTATATCCGAGAAGGAAAATTAAATTCAGATCGAAACAAGTCCTACTGCCTATTGGTTCAAAGAGTCGAGGAACACATGGAGTCCGCTGACTGAATTCGCCGCGGGCGGGGGACTTCGAATGATAACGGCGGAGACAAGTGACGTCGGGCGCACACAGCACGAACGGAGGCTGAGATGTGAGCTCCGAGACGATCGAGGGAGACAAAGGAAATCGCACAATGATCGTGAATTCCAACGCAATCGTGGTCGGAAGAAAGCGGCAGAAGAGGCTGTGTAAGATGTTTGGCTGTGTTGGGACCGGGCCGGTGCTCTTCTTCTCTTCCTCCACCTCGAAATCCGTCGTTTGTGCTCCCGGTCGCTTCCGTATTGCGCATGTCGGCCGCCGATGCAGTCAACCCAACAATCACATTGATCCCGACTCCCTCGAGGTTCTAGTCCTGCACATACATCCATTGATATTCCCGGATCCCCACCCAACAGCCAACGTTAATATCTAGCAGTGGCGAGGCCTATGGACCACCCCACTCCCTTTGGCTAAAATAATGTCCCGTCGAAGCGCAAGATTGCACTCGTCCCACCTAGTCTCTCGTATACAGACGCTTTAACATACGACGCTCGTACCTCGACGTCCCACCTCCATATCGTCCCGCTCGCTGACTCGCGCTCAATAGCCACGCTGCATCATCGAGGCGCACATCGCTGCGCGTATTCTCCCCCGTGTCGACCGTCTCGAAGTAGCCAACCAGTCCTGCGCAGAGCCGGCGAGCTTGTACGCCTTCGCGTCTCCCGCAGGCCCCCGTCTGCATCTTCGTACCAGCGCCACGCATCTTCACCGTGCTGGTCCGTACACGCTCATCCTCAGTATAATGCTGGCCGGCGTCCGCCAAAGCCTCTCCTCGGTACCGCCTCAATTATCCCCGTACCCGCGCGCGCGGGAGGATTCCGTGTCAGAAAATCTTACATGCTCTTTGCGCGCCATCTTCTCCTAGACGCGCGTGCCCCTCTTACCTCGAAAATATGCTGCTCCTTCTTTCCTCTAATCCTCCCCGAGCGAGAGCTTGTATCGGTGCTGCGTTCTTCCGCTTGGCAGCGTATTTCCGCGCGCCCAATATGAATGCTGCTCAGGAGTGTGCCTGCCCCTCGGCTCGCGCCGCCTTAGGTCGGAGCTTCGCTAAGCGCGCGTTCTTCCAGGAATGCACGTCACCACCATCATCGCACATCTACGTCTTGGCGCACACCGTACGTCTACGTCTTTGCGCGTCTTGGCCGTGCCCACGCCCTACTCCTTTCCTCTAGTCTGCCTGCGAGATCCCGCTCGCGTTCGTGCATGTGCGCTGAGCTCCTTCAGATCGTATCATCGCACGCGTCGTTGCTCCCCAGGATTTGTGCGCCCGCGTTCTTCGCGAATATTAATGGCGAGCTGCTATTGTGCGCGATGTTTCTGGGCATAATCTGCTTCCATCGCGCACGTGTTCTTCGTTGCGGGCATTCACTTGTCCCGTGGGTTATCCCGTCCTGCGATTTAGCGGAAGAGCACGGTATGTGTTGGCGCCGAGAAGCATCGCAGCCGTGTCCCTGCTCCAGCGGTGTCTCCGTTCCACCCAGAGTGCGGCGCACACGCATTGACGTCGGGTTGGCTCGTCGCTCGGGTTTGCACGATGTCCCTCGTCATTCTCCCCCGTCATCCTTGTGGGGACCCTCACTCTCCAATCAAACTGAGCCGCTGAACTCCTTCCAACGGTTCCCAAGTTTCGCCCCGTCCACAAATATCTCTTCCGAGTCGCAGCGCGTATTGCATTTCTTCAATTGTATCCCGGTATATGCCCCTCCGAGTCGTATCGAATGCAAGTCTACTTATTACTCTGCTAAGCTCGCTCTTCTCCCAATTTCGCAGACGTGCGGTTAGGACCACTCGAATTAAATCGACTTCGTCCAGGAATTTGTCCGTACGAATGCCCCGGTACCGTACGCTTGTTCCCTCCTTTTCAGTTTTGGTGTTTCAGAATTATGAATTGACTTTGATGCTCTTCAGAAGGTCAGTTCTGCTTGTGTACATTTGCAGGGGAATTTTACAGTCGCTTTGATTCCCCTGTGCCTCCCTCCGATATCTCTCGTCCGGGAATATTGCTCTCAATGCCGCAGACGAAATGCATGGTGTGCGTTCGGAGCTATCCAATATCATCGTACAACGGTAAACGCATATCTATTGGTGCTCCCACTTTTTAATTTTTAATTTGAGCCCCCCGGCCTCATGCGCACGAACCCCCCCCCCCGTCTTACAACGCCTCCCTGTCTTTGATGTTGAATATAAGATCACGACAAATCGGTGCTTCCACTTCTCTCCCTATGCATACTTGAGAGTCTCTGATCTTGATAAGTACACGTATGTGACATGATTGAAACGAACTCATCATGCCCAGTGTGCGATTTGATTCCCGAGTTGAATAACGCCGAACGTCCCAAACTGCTGGTCCGCACATGAATCACGGGTTGTACACATAAGTCCAAAGAAAATGAAGCTAAAATATATATAAGCCCATATCTATTTTCCACTCAACAAGACCTCTGTCACCTTTCTGCAGCCTGCTTCGAAAATATAAACCGCTCACATTTTCCCCGCCGGAGCTTAGAGTTGCTAATGGACGGTGTCCTCGAGAGGGCATGTTGCATGCATACCGTCGACCGAGACCTCGTCTTTGTTCATCGTGGATGGGCGCGAGCGGTAAGCGCCCCATCACGCATCAAGTTCCGCCACGGCCGGAACGTGTCGAGTTGTAATTTAGTCTAAATGTACTAGTATTGCATCACAACCCTATACCCGGTCATCGGACGCCTGGTATCAGCGCTCACTCCTTGGGTCTTCCATCTCAGATGGCTATCAGGGAGTGCCGCATGCCTGCACAGTGATTTTTGGGAATTAAATCTCTCCGAAAGTTGCGCCGTGTTCCAAAGTAAACAAAGCAACGGTGGATGATATATAATGTATTCTCGCCGGTGACATCTTCTCCCGTTGTTCTACCACGGCTGCAGTGATACAGATATAGCAAAACAGCATGCGCGTCGAGATGTGTTATGTGCTCCGCGGGCATCGCATGCAGGACCTTGGTTATAATCGGGCGGCTAATACCTCCAGTAGGTTGTTCCAGAGGTTTAAAATAAATAAATAAAATTCAACTGAGTTAGAGCCCTGGGCACCCATAAAGTTCACGTGAAAGATTAAAGTATGGAGGCACAAAATTTCGGTGGAAATTCTGGACTACACGTAGGGCGAAATACAAACGAGGGCCGAGAAAAGGACAAGTGGCCAGGAAGCGACGTTCGATGATGCGGTGCCTAACAACCCTGACGATGCCGCCGTGATTCTGAAACAGAAGGATGAATGTCAACCACGAAGAATTTCGGGATCACTGAAGAAACTGACACAAGTTCCAAAATATCGAACGCCCAGTCTATCGAAGCCCTCCGCCGAAGATCGCTGACACCGGATACCTTGATCTCCAGATTATGGCTACCGGACGCCAGATCTGTTCGGCTCCACCCAATCGTGCAATCGCTCTGGCTTTGTGTCGATGGGGAAACAAAACTGGTCTCTTCCCCGTCAATCGAGAT